TTTCAACAATAAATTGCTCTGGAGTCAAGGTTTCATAATTCTAAACATAGTGCTATACGGAAGATACTTTATTCAATGTATAAACAACTTCAAATTTATAAAAAAACATACGAGTAATTCATCTAATCTCTCCCAAAACCAAAGCTCTCAAGAAGAAACATGAGAGCTCAGAAGTTCATTAAAAATATAAATCATAATAATAAATAATATTAGAATAATTATCAATTTATTATCAAAAATGTTTCATAAAAGTTAATATTATAATTTGTCCACCATTGAATTTATGTTGATGGATAGATAGAACAAATATATGATACATGAACCTGACCTATACTGATGCTTGACGAATTATAAAAACATAGTTTGAAAAATGATTATTATGCTCTCATAGTATAATAATATTTACAGACATTATACTGTGTGAAGTTCAACTACCTATACTCAAGCATTCACTCAATGGCCTTCAAGAAGTAACAATGAAATTAAAACTACACCGGCACTCCAAGGAATGGTGATCAGATACTTGCTGTGTCAGGACTCTTCATTAGGGCACTAAATAGAAAAGGTCTCTGCAATTCTAATGCTAATATAATATTCTACAATAAATGACAGTAAGTCTGTTAATACAGGTGAGTCTCCTCTCTTCTTATAACTTTCCTAAGTACGACTCTCTTCCATTATTATCAGAGGATTATACTATATAGTGTGGTCCTTTTCAATAATATTTCTATATTTAACATAAATTATATTTTATATCATCCAAATGCATGGAATCGAGCCCCCTTCCTCCCCAATATCAAGCTAAGAAAGATGTAACCAAACTAGTGACCAAGTATTCACCTACAATATTTCAGTGAGATCATTCTCTCCCTCTCTGCATCTTAAAGTCTCGCACAAACTTTAATTTGGTCCCCATAATTACTTAATGTTTTTCTCTTCTATTAATAACTTCATAGAATCGGTGAATATTAAAGCATTGCATTCCTAGGGAATTAGCGGCCACGAAGTTTCGGCTATCAAGAGAACTATAATTCATTACTGGTACGGAGTAGTTGAACGCTCGCTCAAAACTTCCGTAATTAAATTAATATATTTTTCACATGCCTACTATACTTAGGGTGAAATCAATATCAACTCTCATGTGCTTCTAATTTTGTCCATTCAAATTTTAAATTAATCGTAATGTTCAACGAAATTTGGATAGGTAGCGAGGTGCTCAACCAAAACTTAATAACTTATCCATTAATTTAAGTCCAATATAATAACGTTTTACAATACCATTAAGATCGCTGAGTATCAGTCACACATACAATACAATAGAGTACAACATTTGAAATAATATAGTAATTTACTAGAGTGAAAAATCATTCACTATCAGTACGCAACTGATCAGTCATGTTTAGGTTCTTTAATTTCATATATATATGTAACTGGATATATTAAGCCTGATGAAGAATTAAATCAGCCACACTATTGCTCTTATATAAAAACTGATGGGTATATATCAGTATCCTTTTTTTGTATTTTAAAATGTATAATCTGCGATTATTTTCACACAGTATACAAGATATATTTATATATACAACTTACGTTCATAAAACATATAATATTTTATTTCGTTGATTTTAATACAACAGTAGCCTCATAAACCTTTACAAAGACCCCATACAATAAGGTGAGAAAACATCGTGCTAGAGGGTTATTATTAACTTTTTCAAACTTTTCAAAATAAGGACAAATTAATTAGTTATTCAAGGTAGTTTTGAAAAATTAATTATTTCGACTGTTTTCCACTAGCTTAGTAATGCGCAACTTAATCATAAATCTTTATATCGCACATTTATATTATACTATATGAGGTGTATTAAGGACAAATATTAAAATAAAATAAAAATCTTCCAAAAAATATAAAGATGGATTAGTGTAGTTTTGGGAAGACCCAAAAAAGAAGAAGATTTAGAACTATATATAATCTGAAACGAATTAAGTATTAAAAATAAATGTGTATAATTGAAAATAAGGTATGGTTAAATGTGTCAACTTATCAAAAATTAATTTAAATGATGAAAATTAAATAAAATAATTTTCTGTCAAATAGCTAAAATCCAACCAACGCGATTAAAATCAAATTAAACTAATTCAGTTTGATTTTATTTAATTGATTTTTATTGACTTATCTTAATATATAATATATACCTAGTTTCCACTAAAAGGAAATAAATTTCTTTAATTAAACCTAATTCAAATTTTTTAAAAATTAAAAGGTAAAATATATATAGGCTCCTAAAAGTATTCTTAAATTTGCACTTTCATTTCTTTACTTTTGAAAAAATTACTAGAATCCCTTGAATTTTCGTTGGTTAATCCTTTTTGAACATAAAAAGGATGAAATGTTAATTGAGGTGGTATAGTTTAGGATCCTTTGTGCTTTTCTAGGCCAAATAAAAAGAATCTTCACGAATCCACATTCATTAAGGCAAATTGCCTCTATTGAAGTTAATATCTGGTTGTCACGTACTTTTACAGAGTCGTTTGGTTACAGTTAAATATAGTTTTGTTAGGGACACGATGTACTGTTATGTTTTCGTAATATAATCCAATCGCTTAACCATTTTATATTAATAGATTTCCTTTTTTTATGACTTTCCACGAACAGAAAAACTCTCTTACATTACAGCTTTCAATTATCACACACCCTACCCCTTTTTTACCACAATTAAAAAATATATCAATCAACCCATAAACACATAAAATTATTAGCTCCTACCACTTAATTTTAATAATTACAGCTATCCAATAATTCGTTTTTTATTGTGACCATGTAATTTCTTCAGAATTATTTTTAGAGAAAATCGATACATATCATAGATAATATGAAGTATGTAAGTTAACCCTATTTTTTTCAATTTTCAGATTATTTAGGAGTGTTCAAAAAAATAGTAAAACATTAGGAAAATAGGTGTTTCATAGGTCAAGGAGAATTAAGTACAGATTTATTAAGCTAAATATGACTTCATCTTCTAAGCGTAGGTGATATATTTTTTTTCTCTTTTCCGGAGCGAGGGGTCGATAATACTAGTATAACATAATAAATTTACATTTTTTTTAAAAATTTTATTAATCATCACTCAGCACCTCGTTTATCAGCTCAGTTCTATTCGTTTCACAGGCCAGCGCACCACACTGACTTTACCGATATGGTCACTACCCTTACGATACACGTTAGGCGATTTTACTTATATATTACTATATTTTTTTGTATTCCTTCTAACATCTTAACTTCCTAAACAATACTTTTATATATACGATAGAGGACACCAATTTCCCACCTATATAATTATAATATTTTATGAATCTTATGAGTTAAAAAATATTATTATTAATATTTTTATGATCTTATGAGTTAAAAATTTTAATATTTTTGACTAATTTTTAATACTGCAATTAAACAAATTGAAAATAAGTCATTTAAAAAATATTTTTCAAGAAAAACATTTTCCTTGAAAAATACTTCCTCCGTCTTATTTTATTTGCTTTTTATTCCTTTTTGCAAGGTTTCTAAATTTAGATATATAAATAATTATTTTTTCCATAATAATCTTTATGATGGTTCATGTTATGACTCATTTTTAAGGGCCGGACCGATACTAGGGCCCAGGTAAGTTTAAGGCTGCCAAGACCCGTAGTAAGCCTGAATTACTCAATTTAATCACATCTAATTGTAACATAGAAACTGTAAGCGCAAATTATTTTATATAACAAATCTTATAATTATATTATATCTGACCAAAATCCAGTATTTTAAATATTTCATAATTGAAGCCCAATTACATTACACAATATTTATCAAATGGGCTAACTGGTTCAAACTTACACATAATTGAATAACGAAATACCCACATAAATTTATCAGTTACAATCCTACAACTGGGGAGTTCAATATCAATCAGAATAATTAGATTTTGTAAACTCACAATTACGCTAATTATTGAAATTAAATATTTTCTTTTCTAGCTCTGCGATGAAGGAAACAGAGCTTTAAGTGTGATTTAGAAGAGGCTACTTATTGCACCCCACACGCATTCACACAAATGTGTAAATAATTAAATCTAGTCATCCGACTAGTTATATAATCACGTGGACAATCACACAAATGGCATCACAACAGCACTCACAAATATTTGCACCTTCGCATAATCACATCACGTGGAGATCGGTTTGTGGCGTCACCGAAATCCCCGATGAGCAGTCCTCCCACATGGCCCATCCTTTCATGACATGTACACCAGAGAGCCGATCCCTCATACATGGCCGACTACCAACAAGGCCCATCGACAAATTTAATGATTACTTCACCCTTTAATCTCATTATAAAATTTATATTTTTTTAATTGTATAATTTAGTCTCTAATTTATGAACTATTTTATTATAGAAGACTATTATCTTATGTTTTTCATTTATGGGAGTGTAAGGACAAATTACTGATTTTCAAGTAAAGTTGGTATTAAGAAAATTTTAAGATTAGGAAAAATTTAAGAGTTGCTTAGCAGAAAATAAAAGAATTAAGTATTTTTTTTAATTACTAGAGACCGTTTAATTCGGCTCGAAATTTAGTCACAGTTAAGATTTTTCGTCCCTCCCTGTAGATGTGTTTAGTGGGGATTGATCGAGAGCTCTTTCCACATATCCAGCATGTGTTGCCAACTGAGCTATAATCTATAGATTTTTTTAGTTTTTTTATTCAATAATAAAATGCTATTTTCAAAGAGAAGAACATGGTGCATACTCACAAAATTTGAACTTACATTTGATGTTTAAAATTTGTTCTTTTACTTTTTGGTGATTTTATTTTGAAACAGAATAAAAATTATAAGGAATTTTTCATGATTTATTTTTTTTAAGAAAGCCCCCAATATTAAGCAAATATTACGTTTCGGTCCCCAAGAACAGGCTATATATAGATGCAATGCAAAGTTGTGCTCAATTGTCGACTATTCTCTACTACCATTTACCTCTCCAATCTCTCTTTCTTTTTTTTTAAGTACCATTAATGTTTATTATCCAAAACTAATATTTCTGTTTATTGATAAATAGTAATAAAATAGATAAAAATTGTGAGTAGTTGTAGCTAGCTTGTGAAGTAAAAGAAAGAATATGTGGAGACTGAAGATAGCAGAGGGTGGCCATGACCCTTACATATATAGCACAAACAATTTTCTTGGAAGACAAATATGGGAGTTTGATCCTAATGCAGGCACTCCTGAAGAGCGAGCTGAGGTTGAAGAAGCTTGTCAAAATTTCTGGAAAAATCGATTTCAGGTCAAACCCAATGCTGATCTCCTCTGGCAGAAGCAGGTTCTTCTTATTCTTCTTTTATTTCTTTTTCATTCTAATTATATACATATATATTGTTTTCTCCTAACTTTCTATTATTTTATGCAGTTTCTAAGAGAGAAAAATTTCAAGCAGGAAATCCCAATAGTAAAGGTTAAGGGTTTTGAGGAAATGACGCATGAAACAGTAACAGCAGCACTGAGGAGAAGTGTCCACGTTTTCTCTGCCTTACAGGCCCGACTGAGGAGAAGTGTCCACGTTTTCTCTGCCTTACAGGCCCGCGATGGTCATTGGCCTGCTACAAATTCCGGCTCATTATCCTTCTTGCCTCCCTTGGTATTTTTTTTTTGTTTTTTAAGAAGAAAGGAACAAATTCTGAATACTAAACTTTTATTTGGATCGAAGTATTTTTTTCGAACCAAAGAAAATGGCCATGGAAAATACCCAAGTAAAAGAGTTTTTTCTTGTTTAGGGAAAGAGAAGAAATTAACTTATTTTCTACAGGAAAATATATTTGAAATCTTCTTTAATTTGGAGAGAAAATTGGCCAAGAAAAGATCTTAACATTTCATAATACTTCAAAATTTTCGTTATTTATCTTAAAATGTCATTTAAACCCATTTTTAAACCCATTTCTCAAAATAAATGAAAAATTTATGTGACTAGTGAAAATTATGCAGGGTATTTTGTACTGTACATTCCAGGTTATCTAAAATACAATAATCACAGAAGAGGCATCGCAACAACCTGAATTACATATACTGTCATCAGTAAAAAGACAGAGCATTGGCTCAAGCATTTGGTGAAGTAGATTTCTAATGTTAATTTATTTAATTATGGATTATATAATTAAACATTGTATATAATATTATTGTTGCTCAGAACGAAGATGGCGGATGGGGTCTGCACATAGAGGGTCATAGCATAATGTTCTGCACTGTTCTAAACTACATTTGTATGAGAATGCTTGGAGAAGGGCCTGATGGAGGGAAAGATAATTCTTGTGAAAGAGCTAGAAAGTGGATTCTTGATCATGGTTCTGCAATTGCCATTCCTTCTTGGGGAAAGATATGGCTTTCGGTATATAATTATTATATATGTATTTATTTATTTATCTTCCATCTTAATATAATTTTTTTCTATTACTTGATTAAATTTTCTTTATCTTGTAGGTACTTGGCTATGGCTTTCGGTATATAATTATTATATATATATTTATTTATTTATTTTCCATCTTAATATAATTTTTTTCTTTTACTTGATTAAAATTTCTTTATCTTGTAGATACTTGGTCTTTATGACTGGTATGGAACGAATCCAGTTCCTCCAGAGTTTTGGGCAATCCCAAGTTTCTTTCCAATACATCCAGGTTCATTTCTTCTTTTTCACTTCTTTTTTCTTTTAAATAAATAAATTCTCTTTTGCATTCTTCATTTAATTTAATAGTGTGACTTGATTAATTTAATTAAGGTCCCTAATTTTAATTGGAATTCTAATTAATATTATGCAGCAAAAATGTTGTGCTATTGTCGGATGACATACCTTCCAATGTCATATATTTATGGGAAAAGATTTGTTGCTCCAGTAACTCCTCTTATTTTGCAATTAAGAGAAGAAATTTTCAATCAACCTTATGAAAAAATTGATTGGAGAAGCGTCCGACATTTGTGTGCAAAAGTGAGTTCGGTATAGTTAATAATAACAAATAAGTTAATTTTGTGTTATGGAAAAATAAAATAAAATAAATCCAATGTTCTTGCAGGAAGATCTGTACTATCCTCGTACTTTTGTCCAAACATTGCTTTGGGATGTTTTGTACAATTTTGCAGAGCCTCTTCTTAATAGTTGGCCCTTTAACAAATTGAGAGAAAAGGCTCTAAACCAAACTATGCTCCATTTACATTATGAAGATGAAGTCAGTCGCTACATTACAATTGGCTCCATAGAAAAGGTAATTAATTACTAATTAATGTTTAAATTAACATATATATATTTATGTATGTTTTCATGCACTCGGTCACCATTTTTATGTTTGTTTTGATCAGCCATTATTTATGCTTGCTTGTTGGATTGAAGATGCCAATGGGGACTATTTCAAGAAGCATCTTGCTAGGTTCTCAGATTTCTTGTGGGTTGCAGAAGATGGAATGACTGCTCAAGTTAGTACATTAATATTATTAGTACCTACTTAACAAATAATTAGCAGAACTACAATTGAACTTTTGAAATTTTTTTTATCATTTCTAAGTAATAACTTATTATATGCAGAGTTTTGGTAGTCAAGGATGGGATACCAGTTTCGCTCTCCAAGCTTTGATAGCTTGCAACCTCACCAATGAAATAGGACCTACACTTAGGGAAGGACACAGCTTCATCAAGAATTCTCAGGTTTCGATTTACCCACTAGACTACTCTTCATATATAATAGTATGTGTTAGGATTTTATGTTATCTAATCCGATTAAGTTGGCACTTGAAAGGTTTCTGAGAATCCTCCTGGTGACTTCAGAAGAATGTTTCGACACATATCAAAAGGAGGATGGACTTTTTCCGATAGAGATCACGGATGGCAAGTTTCTGATACTACTGCGGAAGGATTAACTGTAAGAATTGACTTTGTTCAAACAAACACCTTAACCCTGACGTTAGATTTGGTCATAATGTAATATAATAATAACCACAATTAATTATCTTTCTTGCAGTGTTGCTTACTTTTCTCGATGATGCCACCAGAGACTGTGGGTGAAAAATTGGAGCCTGAGAAGTTATTTGATGCTGTTAATGTCATACTCTCTCTTCAGGTGAGAGTAAATTGCACCTACGCGTCAATGTCATACGCATAATCTTGTAAATCTTGCTCTCAAGTTAGATAATCTTGTCCATTATTGCAGAGTAAAAATGGCGGTTTAGCAGCATGGGAGCCAGCACCACCAACATTTTGGATGGAGGTCTCTACTTAATTAAACATGTTTCTATCAAAATTAACGATATTATCATTATCATAATTGTTTTTCTTTTCCCCCAGTGGCTCAATCCAACTGAGCTCTTTGAGGATGCTGTCATTGAACATGAGTAAGACTAATTAGAAAGAAAGATTTTGAGGTCCGACTTAATTTTTTTTTATACCTTTTCATTAAGGGTAATAAAATTATTGATGCAGGCATGTTGAGTGTACCTCATCTTCTATCTACGCTTTGGCTCTATTCAAGAAACTGTATCCTGATCATAGAAAGAAGGAGATCGAAGATTTTATCGCAAATGCTGTACAATTCATTCAAAAAATTCAAAGGCCTGATGGTTCATGGTATGGGAATTGGGGGATATGCTTCACATATGGCACATGGTTTGCACTAAGAGGCTTAGCTGCTGCTGGCAAGACTTACTACAACTGTTCTGCTGTACGCAGAGGCGTCAACTTTCTGCTCAAATTACAAAAAGAGGATGGTGGTTGGGGAGAGAGTTATCTTTCATGTCCAAACAAGGTACTGCTATACAACCATCCAAACTAGTATCTTTGAAAGTTTACGTTAATGGAGCTAGCTATATCTTTTGGGTACAGGAATATGTTCCTCTTGAGGGTGAGAGGTCAAATCTGGTGCAGACTGCTTGGGCTTTGATGGGGCTAATTCATGGTGGACAGGTCATTTTCACGATTGATTTGCTCAAGAATTGGATTTTGTTTAGACATCCATTTCCATTTTCATTGTGACTTTCCTAATCCCTTTGGCTACAGGGGGAGATAGACCCTGCACCATTGCATCTTGCTGCCAAGCTTCTAATCAATTCACAAACAGAACTAGGTGATTTTCCCCAGCAGGTAACTCCCTCTCTATTTAATTTGTTTCTGACAAGATCTGTAAATGCCACACTTGGAGACTCGATCCGGCTCCCCAATATAGGTTTGGAGCGTCCAGACATTGTCAAAGCCCAATGAACTTTAGAATAACTGTGGTTATAGACCAAAAAATAGTTTGTTTTTTTTATTTTGATGCTAATTATTGATTACTTGTTTGATTAATTTTCAATTTATGGCAGGAAATTTTAGGAGTCTACATGAGGAATGGCATGTTACACTATGCAGCATATAGGAATATTTTCCCTTTGTGGGCTCTAGCAGAATATCGCCAGCATTTTTCATTTTCTTCGAAAAGTGTTTGAATTATATAACTTCTATAATTACATTTTTCATTGAGTGCTTTTTCATTCTCTGCCACAGCATCATCAATTATTAAACGACTATTCCCCCCGATGCCAACAATGTGTCGTTTTATTGAGTTATCCGAGTGCTGAAATTTTCCTTTTTTATCCCAACAGATAAGAAACGACATGACGTTTGAGGGGTTAGAAATTGATGACATATGTTTAAATAAAATAAAATGTAATGGCAAAAAAATGAACAAGAAGTAGACGTTTTGATCTTTAACACTTCCTCATTTCTTTATAAAATAATACATTACAAAAAGGTAAAAGGGAAAACAGGTAAATGAAATCTCTATCTCCTCTGGAAGTTGAAGGACCTAATAGAAACAGCAAAAATAAAGGCAAACAGGACAGCAATCCCAGGAATCACAACTGCAACTGCTCCAAGAAAATCATGTTTCATGCCATAATATTCTCTCAGATAATCTTGCACTGGTTGTTGGTCACCATCCTCGAGTGGGTCTTTAATATCTCCGTATTGGGATGCAAGTACTCCATACAATGTCCATGCTACTGGACATGCCCAATAATACCATCTCCACCATACAGGCATCCTCTGTTATATACACAGGTATTAGTCCATAAACTGAGTATATACTGAGCTGAAGCTTAGAGCATTCTGAAGAATTAAAGGGTAGTTAACACTTACAGGTCGAGGGATGACAAATCCTGAAAAGATATTCCATATTGCATAAAGATGACAAATCCTGAAAAGAATTCCATATTGCATAAAGAGCTGAAAGAAACTATGGAGCAATGTGGTTAAGTTTGTGTACGCGACAGCCATCATTCCATAGTAGGTGAAATACAATAACTGTGAAGTAACATGAAGAATATGATACCAAAAGAACTTTAGCAGCAGTCCATTCGAATTCATTGCATATGTTATAAGACCATACACAAAAGCTTGACAAAATATATATGGAAGCTCCACTATGACCTGTGAAAAAGATATTAAGCTCATTAGGAGAAGAAACAAAGAGCATTCTATATGCTTAACTATTTCTTAAAACATGTAAAAAGGTTATTACTTGTGCATACGCATATGGCAAAGCTGAATACATTCCTGCAGCTCTTTCTCTATAGAAGACAGTTCTTTCAACTGCCACTACTGGCTGTACAGATGATCCATTTTGCACTCCCAGGAAGAGAACTGCTGCATACAGTGAACCAGTAGAATTGGAAAGGTCTTGTTGCTTACCACTACAATGCAAGAAATGGGAATAAGCTTCTAGTCACGAACAGAACATTTAGATAAAATGTTCGACTAGTATAGTATGTGACTTACGTTTTGGAGCCAAGATTCCAGAATATTGTACCAAACATCAAAGCTATGAAGATTGTAAACAGAAACCTTATGGCGGTATATGGTGGGTTCCGCCAGTATGATAACCGCTGCTTCCACAAACAAGCTATACATTGGGTTAGGAATGACTGAGAATACTGGGTAGAGAAATATAGGTCCTTTGAACCAGGCGCTGGAGTGCTTAATTCATTGATAACTGCTATGTTTCTCCTGAAACATGTGGCATATATCAGCAGAAATTTAAAAAGAAATTTACCTCTTGTTTCTAGAATGAGTGCATTATACAATTCCTGTGTTGCAACATAAACAGTGATAGAAGATTCATCTATCTTTAATTTATTGGTACAAGCATACCTGTAAAGTTCTGAATTCTTGTAAATGGCAGAAAAATCAACACCCAAAGCCAACTCTTGAGCAGAACTGGTGACTTCCAAACTCTTGAGCAGAACTGGTGACTTCCAGCATCCAAGTGGCTGGATTATAACCATCTTTAATTTTACTGACTCCTTCAACTTCCTTGATAAAAAGAATGGTAACTGCATTAGCGTGAATTAAAAATGTAAAGAAGTTTCTTTTACAGATTTGCACTTTTTCAAATTTTTACCTCAAAATATTTAATCAAATGGTAAGAATGCCGACCCAATGGCCCCACGTATATCTCTTCTCCTCCTCTCTTCAACAGGAATAACTGCAATGCTATGTTTGCAGCACATCAGTATGTGGTCAAAACCCACAATAAATCACTGAATTTAGTAATTTTTCAAAACATTTTATACCTCATCAAAAGCTTCAAAGATGTCAATACTTGGTTGATGGATGGTGCATACAACGGTTCTTCCTGTGTCAACAGTGTTCCTAACTTCAAAAGCTTCAAAGATGTCAATACTTGGTTGATGGATGGTGCATACAACGGTTCTTCCTGTGTCAACAGTGTTCCTAACTGTTCTCATAACAATTGCAGCAGCTCTTGCATCTAGACCTGAAGTCGGCTCATCCATGAATATTATGGAGGGGTTTGCCACCAGCTCAACTGCTATCGTTAGCCTTTTTCGCTGCTCAGTTGACAGACCATTCACACCAGGCAACCCAACTAGTGCATGCCTCAAAGGATTCAGTTCCACCAGCTCCATGATTTCATCAACAAACATCTGCATCAAAATTTTGCAACATAAATTTAGTTGCCTGTGACCTGCTAGAAATCTTTTCCTTTTTGTCATACAAACAGATGAGATGCATTCAAGATTTTTGTGAACATCTTAACAGGTTTGATAAGGATTTGGACCCCTAACTTCACCCCAAAAGCTAACTCGTAGGGGAAGGACTGAACCCAGCCTTATACACTAATGTACTCCGCGGGCGATGTGGGACGTATCAAGGTTCCTTTTAACATTACAAAAGGGTTTCCTATGTAATTCAAGTTAACTTGAATGAACTAGCACCAGACAGTAGACAGGCTGAAAGCAAACAGATTCTGAGAGCAGAGGATTCTGATGTAGATACTTACATCTCTAGTGCTAGAGTCTATTTCAGGGGCAAGACGAAGCCAAGCTGAGAAGAGTAAGGATTCATAGACAGTAACGTGTGGAGAGTGGATGTCATTTTGCTCACAGTATCCTGAAATTCTAGCAAAGGTTTCCTGCTTCTTTGGGTATCCAGAAATTGTGATACTTCCCTCAATATATCCGCCAGTTTTCCTACCAGCCAGGACATCCATAAGAGTGGTTTTACCAGCTATCCATAAGAGTGGTTTTACCAGCTCCACTGACACCCATTAAAGCTGTGAGAACGCCTGGCCTAAAAGCACCACTGACACCCTTCAATAGCACCAATTTATCTTCAAGGACTCCCTGACTTTTCATTTCCTGTAAATTCAATATATCAAGTTATGTTGTCCTTTTTAACCACATCTAACTGAAAAAAATATATCTTTCTACTTTCCTAACTTTCGATACCTGTGGCATATCATGGAGAGTGGATGTCATTTTGCTCACAGTATCCTGAAATTCTAGCAAAGGTTTCTTGCTTCTTTGGGTATCCAGAAATTGTGATACTCCCCTCAATATATCCGCCAGTTTTCCTACCAGCCAGGACATCCATAAGAGTGGTTTTACCGGCTCCACTGACACCCATTAAAGCTGTGAGAATGCCTGGCCTAAAAGCACCACTGACACCCTTCAATAGCACCAACTTATCTTCAAGGACTCCCTGACTTTTCATTTCCTTATCAAGTTATGTTGTTTTTTTTCATCACATCTAACTGCAAAAAAATATATCTTTCTACTTTAACTTTGATACCTGTGGCAGATCAACAGAGTATACAACGTTATCAAAGGTAAGACAATGTGGTTCAAATGGAAGAACCATTCCTTTTTTCTTGTTATGATTCACCTCATCATTTCCACTTGTCCCAATTTCTGCATGCATGAAAATTGAATTTATTAAATTAGAAACAAATAACATATGGAATAATCAAGTTAAACACATTCCTGTAACCTGTTTTGGTTCTATGACTACACTCAGCTTGTGACAACTGAATGGCAATGGCTCCTTCAGTTCTAGCTCTTGGTTCTGGCACCTCAGAAATAACAGCTTGAGGCTTCTCAAAAGCTGTCAAATTTCATTTTTGATATCTTACCTTGAGCTCTCATTTCCAGAAAGTATGAAATTGAAATGATAATAATACTTACGGTTAAGGAAATGAAGAGCCAGAGCGAAACATAAGTTGAATAATAGAATGAATCCAGCCAATGCGCCTAGTCCTAACCAATACCAATATGCCTGTGGAAAGAACCCACGAGTTTTCATAACTTGAATTCCCAGTGGTTCTCCTGAGTTTTCTGGAATCTGTAACTTGTAAAATAAGTAAGGAATCGCTTCAATATTGAGAGGCAAAAACACAAAGATATGATGGCACGTTAAAGAAAATTACATGACTCCAACTTTTTCCAAGGAACTCATTGACTACTATTGCGTTCTGCCCGTACATCATTGGTGATATCCAGTAACCCCATATCCACCATTTCTTTATGTCCTCTAGGGCATCAGACAGAAAAAAAACTTAGAACTCATTCATATTCGTTTAAAGAAAGATTAGTTTGTCAAGTACACATGGATTAATTATTACCTCGTGACAAGACGACGCCACCCAATGTCAAAAGTATAAGTAGGGAAAATAACCCAAAAGTGTTAGCAACGATCATGTTCCTTCCCACTGAAGCAATAAGTCTAAATAGTGCAGAGGACATCTGGTTAACTAGTAAAAGCAATAGGTACTGCTTAAATAACCTGCACTAGTCAACATTTTACATTTACTTGATCAGAAAAAAACTTGTGTTATATAGTTCTAATCAACATGATCTTTGTTTTGTTCTTTTTGTTTGCTTTCCTCTCTTACCTTCCAACATTAGGATCAAATCCAATGACATAATAAGTGATGAACACCCAAACAGACACTTCTAAAATTGTTATAGGAATTTTCGGGATCCATGTCGGAAGAGAATATGCCCATGCAGGATAGAATAGGAGGTCCCTTTGCTTGTAAAACACAGGAAGCTTTACAATGGTCATAGATATTTCTGACATGCCATGTTCCCAAAGTAAAGAACAAAGCTCCCAAATAAATTCCTCCATCAGTTACATCATCTCGATGCATATTAGTTCGCAGGAAGAGTGTAATAGTAATGATTGCCATAATGATGAGCTGGTACAAAAAATAAAAATTAGAGAAGGAAGAGGAAATTTTCATATAATATGTAAAATCTGAGAACAAAAACTAGGCAAATCGAAATTCTGTTGATAATTACTCGGCTGAGCTTGAAGACATAGATAAATGAGTTCCTCTTCATGGGCAAGTACTCTCTTGAGAAGCAAGCTTTAAGCAACTCCATCTTTCCTGCACCATATTTTCCTGTAGCTAAAGCCGCTGGGTGGCCCTTGGTCTTATCAAATGGGGTTGAAAGGTCATGTTCAATTTTTCGACCAATTTCATAAGACTGGAATGCCCTGGAAAATTCCGGGACTGTGACAAAACTGTAAGGCTGATCCTTACGTGCCCAGTACTGCTGCTGATCTTTCTTTGATGTCACCTGCAATGAGTTCACTATTCATAAGAACTGCTATATATAAGCCCATCTTAAAAAATGATATTCTATGAGGAAGACATAGAAAAATGCCATGTTTATGCTTACTTCTTGCAAGAAATCCGCGACGCCTTTTCTTTCAGGACACCTGAAGCCCATATATTCAAAAAACCCGAGTACGTCGTCACGAGGACCCTGGTACACAATCTGGCCATCGGACAGCAGAATAATGTCGTCAAAGAGATCATAAGTTTCTGGAGCTGGCTGAAGGAGGGAGATGACAGCAGTTCCATTAAGAATGTGAATGGACTGCTTTAGTGAGTTCACAATTTGGTAAGTTGTTGAGCTATCCAGTCCAGTGGAGATCTCATCCATAAACAGTGCCTTTGCTGGCCCAACCAGCATTTCACCTTCATTTTGATTTTGGTAGATTTAATTACAGACTTTTTTTTATATGGAATCAAAATTATATTTTATTTGTTGTTAGAAACAGACTGGTGGACTGTGGATGCTATTTACCTGTTGTAACACGCTTCCTTTGTCCTCCGGAGATACCCCTTAACATTTCGTCTCCTACCAAGGTATCTGCACAAATCTCTAATCCTAATATCTGTGAATTTAAGTGAAAAGGACGTTAAAAAATTGAAGGAATGTTACATTCCTGAACAATAATATTGAAGTACTTTTTACTGATGATACCTTCAGAATATAATCTGTGACCACGTTAGTATCTTGACCTTCAGTTGCTGCAGCCTGTGAACACAAGAATATTATAAAATGAAGATCAATCTCCGTAAATTCAGCTTGAAATTTTTTGATTGAATTCTTATTGAAAAAGAATTAAAAAAAATTACAAATTCATTTTAATGTTTAGAGAAAACAACAAAATTTCATTGAATACTATTCATATTTTTATGCCTTCATATCACAAAATTATTGTTTCTTCTGTTAGAACCTTGTCTTATAATTCCAAGTTAGCTATCTGCAGGATTATTTGTTAAGTGACAACATTAGGAAACTGTTTTTGGATTAGTTGTACTTTTCGTAATTATGTGATGTGTGTATAAATTTGCAAGTCATGTTAACTTCATATCTAACGAAAACTAAAATTTGATTAGATTCAAATTTAAAAATTATAGTTGGAAAAGCTGTGTTATCGTCTTCTAAATATAGGCTTTGTAGTTCTTTGGAATGAATGTGAAAACAAAGTTTCTTATCTTTATGCGTTAAAGTTTTTCTCCAAAAATTTCCAATTCTAAAAAAAAAAAAACCATCTTTCTCTTACCTTCATGAAAACATCAATATCTGGATCAGGTTTAATATTTGCTATTTTCTCTCTTCTGGACAGCTCTGCTAACATATCTGTTAATTGTCAAATTTTTTTCATTATTAATAACACTTGGAGTATGTATTTCATTAAGGCACATCATGAAAATAACATTGAAGAAAGTCCAGCAATCTGACCGTGTTGGGTTCCAACCCCTTGGCATCTGGCAGAAAATGCCAAAGTTTCCCTTACAGTCATTTCTCCAATGTGAAGATCATGTTGACTGATATAAGCTGCTGTTCTTTGTGGTATGAATTCATTCATCCCATGACCATTGTACGTCACAGAACCAGAAAACTGCAAGAGAAGTTTGATGTCTCAATTTAGATTAAGAAAAAAACTAGATTGAAAAATGGATGCTAAATAAAAGCCAAATCCACCATGAAAGTTATAAAGATAAGAAAATGAATCAACACCTTCAAATTAGGATCAAGCTTTCCTGCCAATGCTAGCAGAAGTGTAGTCTTTCCAGAACTTGGAGGACCCAAAAGTAAAGTCATTCTGGAAAATGTGCATGCCCCAAAAGCAGCAATTAGGAATTTGACAAAGCAAAACAGATACACACACACACATATATATAGTGACTATAAATTAATTAGGATAGCCTAAACAATCTCTTACCTTGATGGTTTGATGACCCCACTAACATCCTTAAGAATGGTCAACTGTTTCTTTCTACTCGGAAGGATATGCAGAGAATTCAAAAAACCCTTTGGAAAATCAAAGGCAAGAAAAAATTAATTTATAAGAATAAACTAACAAAATAAAAAAAAATAAAAAAAGCAGCACCATGAGAGACCCTCAAGTAGTGAGGACAAGGTTAAAGGTCCAATGTGTGGGAAAAGTATTTATAGGAATAGTCTATATCTTAAATTTAATGGAATAAAACACAAATTGAACGAAAATAATCTCATATCTAAAAGGTATGAGATAACTCGTGATAATAAAAAATAAATAAATAAAAGAAGCAACTTAAAATCTTTGCAAGTTTTTACCTCTACTATATTAGCACTGAAGTTGACAAATGTAGGCAAAGCTCTGCTTCCTACATGTACTTCTGCCTCGATATTTAGATGCTCAAATCGAACTTCAATTGTTGGAATTTCTATTCCAACCCTAAAACACCAAGACACAAGACAAACGATTAAAGAAATATCCAAGAAAATAACCAATGAAGAAACAAAATCAAAACCCATCTTTCTTTTTCCATTTCTGGATATATATATCTCTATAATTCCAATTATTATCACGCAGACCCAAATTCGAATTTTCTTAGCAACCAAACAAAGAATCTCAAAAAGCAATGAACCAGTATAAAAGTCTTAATTTTACCTATCAATTCGGTTCTTGAGTTTCAACAAGAACTTCTCATTATCCTCTTCAGCAACTCTAACTAATCTGTCAACCAAAGTTTTCCTTTCTTGAAATCCAAGATCATCAATGTCAATCTCATGCATTTCACCTTTAGATACACTAACCAATATACCTTTCCTTAAACGATCATAAGTGGGTAACTTTTCAAGTGCTGCCCATTTAAGAGCTTCTTCATCATCTTCTTCTCTTGAAGATCTTGAAAAAACATCAACCCCATTATTTCTCCGTGCCGAAGAGCCCCCTCCTCTGATACTACTACTTGCTCTATATATGTCTGTACCGTCCATTTACGGAGAATTCTCGCTTCAGTAACAAAAGCTTAGAAAACCCTCCAAAACCCAGATTTTGATCTCAGTTTTCTTGTTAAAGTTTGCAACTTTAATGGAAAATGTCACAGATTTTATACTCTCTTTGAATTAAAGAACAAAGAAGATGCAGTGCATTTGAAAATTTTCTCTGTATTTATAAGAACATCTCATTAGAGTACTTACCAAATTTTTACGTTGTTTAATGTAAAGGTTATCATTTCCGTGAAGAGACCATCAGGAGAATGGTTATGATTAAACGAAACAATTACAATTTTAAAGTTTTTTGATTGACAAGAATCATGTAGAGCCTGTTTTTCCAAAATCTCCAGCTTACATGGATACTATAAACAGTATCTGCGTTTTTAACAATGAGATTGGGATTATTTAATCTCTAACATTTAACTTGACAAACAAGTCAGATCTTCACCAAGAAAAATTAATTGGAAATCTTTTACCAAGAAGAATCAATTGAATTACGAAACTATATACAGCACCTTTTAATCTTTTAAACGTCAGTTCATACAAAAAATCATTTAAAGAGTAATACCAAGTGTCTAAATTTTATGCGGATAAAGTAAGGGGTGAGCAAAATGACTAATCGACTGAAAACAAAACTGGCACCGTTCAATTCGATTGGGTTAGCATGCTCACAAGAAGATTGATTTTCCATTTAATTTGGTTCAAACCAAAGTTTCTTTTGGTGGGTTTATAAAAATCAAATCAGTTAGACTTAAAAAAACCATCAACCTAATCGAGCCGATTCAGTTTATTCAATTTGATTTTTTAACAACAACTTCGGTTTGAATTAATTTTACTTTTAAAAGTTTGATTTTCCTTTTTCTATCTGGGTTCAATTCGAATTTCAACCCAACCTATTGTTTTCTCACCCCTATAAAATAGTTATACATTTACAAATATAGAAAATATAATTTTCAAACTTTTGTTAGTATACTAAAAAAAGAGAGATACAAAAGAGGTTTTCTAAACGTTCATGTTGAATGTGATAATGTCCTTGCAATAAATTGAAGTAATATCTTACGGCGTGCTTTAATTCACTCTCTATTGCTCAAACCAAATTAAGTTTTTCGTGACGGTTTGATTCAATTTGATTCGATTTTAAGATTTGAGGCGATTTTTAAAAAATCAATTAAACTTTAAACATTGCAAAATTAAACTGAATTTATATAAACAATTAATATCATAGCAAAAAGAAACATATTTGTAATAGAATGATACTTAATTCAAAGCATACATAGGTACTAAATAATTAATATATAAAATAAAATCGCAGAAGTAAACATGCGTATAACAATTAAATTAATATTAAACTAAAATATTAATATTATTTTACATATTTATGTATTCATGAAAACCTATTATCAATATAATTAATTAAATGTAAAGGAAATTTTTTTGAAAACATAATTACAAATAAGCATATCAAGAATTATAAATAAGCTTATAGACCAGACATATAACTTTATTATTAGTAGCTAATAAAATTCATTGATCTTTTAACGAAATAAAAGAATTCATATGCTTTTAAATGAAACTGCAACTAAAAATTATAATATTAAATCTTTCTGCTTGAAATTGATGTTGATAAAAGATATAAATCTTTATAGTAACAACTAGTCCTTTAATTGATTTGGACGTCAAAATAATAACTTCACTGGATCTTCTATAACTGGATCGATTTTTCAATAATTTGTAATATATGACGAAATATGAGTTTTCGCCGCTATGCGTTAATAGCATTAATGGAGGAACAGACCGCAGTACCAGGCTCCATCGATCAAGATCCACACCTGCAAATCAAAATCTAAAGTCTCCAACCAAATAAAATCAAATATCACACTTTTATTTAGTACTAAACCCTTACAAAGAAGGGACTACCCTCACAAGGAATGGATAAAAAAATTCCAAATATGGAGACAACCTATAATAACAAAATAAAAACGACAGATCTGTTATAAAAGAAAAACAGATCTAAATTTATTAAAGTAAAAGAATATTAAAAGTAAAAAAACGTGAAATGAAAAAGATATTAGAAAGTAGGATGTAGGGGGCTATCGCTGATAAACAGCGGCAGCTCCAAACTAAAACTGAGATTTAGAAAACTAGAGAGACAAGAGAAAGGGTGGTGTGGCCTTCAAGTTCTAAATATAAAGTAAATTACTTTGAAGACTTCAAATAAATGAATATAGGACCGTAGATTTACAAAAATAAAGAAAATTATGGATCTATTCGGTAATATTAGTTGTTTTAGTAATTGATGGCTGTTTTAGTAGCATTTAGCTGTTAACTGGTTGAATAGCTTTTCATGAGAAAGCTAAACGTTACATGAATTAATTTTTTACAAAACATTATTTTAACCTCTAAAAGTTAGTTCAAACACTATGTTATCCAATACTATAAAAAAAATATATCAAAATGCTAAAAAACTATTTAAAAAGTTGTTCCGAACACACAGTACATCAAAGGCTTATATCACACTTGCACAGAAGAGGTCTTTCTTTTGCTCTTATTACAAGACAAAAGTAACAATTACAAAATATTCTATGCTTGAAATGGTAGTAAATGAAATGATAAAATATTTTTTTCTTATTTACAAATGGTCATAAGAGAAAATAAATCTCTAATATCATTAATTGGACTAATTAAAAATAAATACTCAAGTGATTAGAGCAAGTAAAAATCCTTAAAAATGAAATAATTAGAATTAATTTTAAAGCTATACTTAATAATATAAATCTGTAATATATATAATCAGATGAAAACAAATTTTTAATTAGATAATCAAATTAAATATAATTTACTAAGTTTGATAAAATGAAATGAAATGATTGGGATGAAGTTAATTATTGTAAATAAATATTTGTAGTTTTTTTAGTATAAACCACCGATATCCATACTCTATTATTAGAGACCGTATAATCTGACTTGGGATTTAAATAATTTATAATTATTAACACAATCACGTTACTAATTAGTTAGGATTGTTTCCTTGACTTAATGAAATTTTACCATAAAATAGTAAAATAGCAACACATTTAAAAGAAAGCAATCCTAAATTCCTAATATTGTATGTATATATTTTCAAAGTCTGCGTGCTTACTATTACTAATCACCTTCTAGAAATTCAATAACTTAACGTACAAAGGTTACACTTTGAATATTGTACTGTATATTATACTATTATATTATGTTTCTTTCTTTGTATTTTTTATTTTTTTATTTTTTTTATCAATATTAGTGAGTGTTCAAAGTCTATAGTTCTGTTAGTTGGTGAAAACTAAAAACAATCCACAGGGAAAATATTGAGTTTGTAATTTTTTTTTTTCTTCTATTTGAATGTTAATTAACAATTAAGGTGAAATTAGCTTGCTAGTGAGAGAAACAGAGCCCCTTATTATTTTTTTTTATAATATTATCATATTATAATGGCATTTTTTTTTATATAATCTTATAGTTCTGTTAGTCTAATGTTAATCTTATAATATTTTTAGGATACTTCTGTTGAATTCATATGTAATATTTGGAAAAATATAGAATAATTTTTGTGACTGAAGAAACTTCAATTGGACTTTGTGCTCATTAGGTTTTCCCCACATCTAAGTATAAGACACCTTTTTTTTTTTTAGAGAAATAAGAAGTTAGCTTATCAGTCAACATCCTTTTTTTTAAAAAAAAATAAAAATAAAAAGCAGTGGAGTGTTAAAAGGAAATTTTGAGGTGTGAATGGATATTATCCTTCGGAATTTAATTGGTCCTATTTAGGTTCTGTTCGGCAATAAATTTTCATAATGATTTTTATTATTAAACGTTCAATATGTAGCGTTTATACTAGTTGACCGCTATTAAAAGAATTAATTTTTTAAAAAATGACCTTTGTTGTTGCTCAATTATAGCAATAATGTTTTGTAGGTTTACTCTTGAGAACTGTTAATAGGGATAAATAGATATTACTTGAATAGACACAAAATAAATAAATGATAAAATTATTTTTATGTAAGTAATGTGCGATTTTTATCTCTTAACGCACCTCACAAGCTATATTTATATATTATATCTAAAATTTTACTGAAGAGAATAATTTTATGTTAAAAAAAATTAATTCTACAAAAATTAGAAGACTATGGATTTATGGTTAAGTCATTTTAAAAATAAAATGTATATCAAGTGAGGAGTTGTCAATACTCAATGCCAATGGTAGATTTTTTTAACTGATCATTAAATATTCATTGGATGTTTGATAAATGGGTAGGTAATTGTTTTAAATTTAATATAGTAGAGATAAATCAATCAACGAGGTGGACATGCCGGAGTGGTTATCGGGCATGACTAGAAATCATGTGGGCTCTGCCCGCGCAGGTTCGAATCCTACTGTTCACGATTTAAATTTTTCGATTCTATTTTTAATACTGAAATTGACATTTTGTGAGGGGTTTGCTTTTTAATACTGAAATTGACATTTTGTGAGGGGTTTGCTACTAACTCAACCGCTTTCGCTGCTCTGTTGAAAAGCCATTAATACGAGACAATCCAACCAATGCATTTCTTATTGGATTCAGTGTTTAAAAAAAAAAAAAAAATTTAACAAAAATGGGCAGATTTTTAAGGAAAGAAAGTTCATACACAAAATAAACTTTATTATGTTTAAGATAATAACAATAGAATGATGATTTTTTATGTACAAGATCCATCAAAGCGGCAATTTAATTTTTTTTTTTTTCCACTTCTACACTACAGCTCCCTGCTTCAATGGGTTGAGATTGCATGTTATAATATATATATTTTTTTTTTTTCAACTGACTCGTCTTTCTGTTATGTTATAACCACGTTAATTCTTAAACCACTAGTCCAGCGTTTTGTCGTTTCCTGAGTGATCCAAGCGATGAAATTTCTCATTTTTATCTCAACAGCTAAGGAATGAACAACAATTAGACATTTTGATGTTTCATTCTTCTCTTTCTCATTACGAAAAGCTGAAAGGAAAAACAGTCACATGAAATCTCTTTCTCCTCTGGAAGTTAAAGGACCTAATAGAAACAGCAAAAATAAACGCAAACAGGACCGTA